TGCATTTAAAGTGATATTCCATTAATATTTGGCTGCATTAACTCAGAAACAGTTTTTGTCTTCTGCATTTAAACTGATATTCCATTCATCTTTGGCTGCATTAACTCAGATACAGTGTTTGTCTTCTGGATTTAAAGTGATATTCCATTAATATTTGGCTGCATTCACTCAGACGCAGTGTTTGTCTTCCATCTTTGGCTGCATTAACTCAGATATTTCATTAATGTTTGGCCTCATTAACTCAGATACAGTGTTTGTCTTCCGTGTTTGGCTGCATCTGACCGCCTTTTTTTGTGGTGTTTCTTTGTTTTGTAGCTCAGTGCCTGCATCCCCATCCACGGTTAATCTGGTTTTGGAGAAGAAATGTGGCATAGAGAGCATAGGTGGGCTAATCAGTGCTAACGATCACCGGCGACGGTTGGAAAAAACAGAACAAAGGAAACAACGGACCCTTTCAGAATTGCTGGTTATGATAAGACAGGAACAAAAACTACTTGCATAATAAATAAATACATCATAAGTTAATCATCATGAAATATTAAGTTAACTATTTACTACGCCTTTGAATTGCATCACAAGGCCTCAAATAGGGGAACAATTTGTTAAGGCTCAACAAGAACCGGAAAAAAAAGGAGGGAACCTCTGGCAGTCTGGTATTTGAGGTGGGGACCCTTTATTCTCCCAGACCTAGGGACCAAAACCAGACCAAACAAAACACAGGAGCCCTGCAGAGCGGGGGGGGGGGGAGGGAAGACCAAATCCCCGATGTAACAGACCCTCCAAAGACCAGAAGTACACCAGGGTTCAGAAGTCAACGCGACCAGGGCTTCCTTCTGTTGACTGCAAGTAAAAATTCAAACAAAAAACCCCAAAACAAATTAAAAAACTTTAAGACCCTGATGCACATCATTGTATGGTTACCTCAGACATATATTAAAGCTCATTTATAACACGTTTACATCATGTTCAATCATTACTTTTTCAGTGAATCATGTAATTCTATTTAAATAGACTCGCATTAAAATATTATCTTATAATTACCGTGCGTTCATTTAATAAAATATCAACTTATACCCGTAGTGCTACTAAACACTGTTACCTGTAACGCAAAAAGGCAGTCATGAATTTCCATGGTTGACTAAGAGAATGCATCCGGTACATTTAACATAGTTTCAAACAAATAACAATAAAAAAAAGGAAGATAAAGATTTAGGTGAGAATTCATTCTACAAAAAGGAGCATGTATTTAAACTCTCCTCTACTTAACATAGTAGTATAATAGGATTCTGACTCTGGAATAATAAATAATAGTATTCAAGTGATGTTGATTGCTAATGCAGATGTAGTTTTCTGTTTTTTTAAACACCTGTATGGCCTTTCACACGTTTGAAATAATATAAACAATATCTATCACACTTTAGAATGCCTTTTTTCAAATATACACAGTACTTATACTTTTACTTATACTTGCACTTTCGATACTTGAGTAGCAATTTTTGATATACTTCTACTTGCAATACTTAAGTCCAAAATAAATTGGAGTACTTCCGTACTTCCACTTAAGTATGGAGGTGAAAGAACACTTTTACTTTTACTCAAATCAATTTTTTTACATAGTACTTGTACTTCTACTCCACTCCGCTACTCCAGTACTTTATACTTTATACATCTCTGCTGTTGGCTGATAAGAGTTTGCTCCCTCCCAGCTTCCGGGGGGGCCTCCTTCGTGGCGGTCCATGGGAGGAAGACCCTCCTGGTGTCGGCTTACCTGGAACACCGCACAGGGAAGCAGGAGGTGGGTGAAGGCTCCTGTGATGGTTTCCGTCTAAAGCCGGATAAAAAACTGCTCAAGATTTCCTGTTTAAGTGAACTTTGGGTGAACCTTTTGATTGTTGTGTGCGACGGAAATTAAACCACCGCAAAGTGAGACGGAACTTTATTGCCCCTCCTGCAAACGTCCTGTTGACCCGATTCTTTACCTGAGAGTAAACCAGAGTGGATCAAAAGTATAAAAATGACATTTACTAGACACAGTTAAGTGTATCAGCTGGGCTCTGACAGACAAAAACCTCTCTCTGGGTCTCAGTGGGTTAGAGCCCTGAGATCTGGGTGATGGGCATTATCTCCTGGGCTCCATCCGCCTCCTCAAAGGAGGACTGGACACAACCAAGTCCTATTGGCCAGTTACCTCTGGGCATGAACAGGCCAGGTCCTAATTCATGCAAATGACATTGGAATGTGGTACCAAATGGTTTGAGTTGACTTAAAGACGTATATCTAATGCAACAGAGAAAGAAAAAGGGAGAAAAGAGAGTCTGCGGACACAACCAGAGACTTTAACACAAAATATAGTTATAAAAGAAAATAAAACAATCAGTCATTTACATAGATCATGTGATAGCATAAGTGAGTAATTATAACCAAATTCTAACAGGAGGACTGGACATAACTGAGTCCTATTGGCCAGTTACCTCTGGGCAGGAACAGGCCAGGTCCTAATTCATGCAGCTGACAGGAATGTGGTAACAAATGGTGTGTGTGTGTGTTGACCTAAAGGGTGTGAAATAAAGAAAGAAAAAGAGAGAAAAGAGAGTCTGTGGACACAGCCAGAGACTGTAACAAAAAATATAGTTATAAAAGAAAATAAAACAATCAGTAATCTACATAGATCATGTGATAGCATGCTATGCTAACGTGAGTAATTATAGCCACATTCTAACACTTTGCTAATTTCCGTCTAAAAGCCTGATGAAAACGGCTCAGGACTTCCTGTTTAAGTGAACTCTGGGTGAACCTTTTCATTTCTGTGCGCGACGGAACTGAAACCTCCGCAGAGTTAGGCTGAACTTTCGAACGCCCCGTTGAACCCCGCCTCCTCCCTCTCCAGGTCCGGGTTATTTCGGTGGCCCTGCGGGGCCAGCCGGCGGCCTACCGCTGCCTCCTGTGCTGCGGCGAGGAGCTGCGCGCCTCCGAGGCCTCGCTCCACATCCACAGCCACTTCCACTACCCGTACGGGACCGGGGACATCACCTGCCCCGTCCCCGAGGGCTGCCAGGCCCCCTCACACGTCGCCGTGACGACGCCGGACGCACCCGAAAGTGATGGAGCCTCGCCCCAAGGTTTCTTTTTTTTCCTCCGGAGTCAGTGGGTCCAGACCGGTCCGTTCTTACTTGGTTTTGCAGAGATTATCGCGTCCTGATTATTTCCAACGTCATCAGAGGTTATTTCAAAAAGAGGAATCAGAATCAGAATCAGAATAAGGTTTATTGCCAAGTAGGTTTTTGACTTACAAAGAATTTGCCTTGGTGTTTGGTGCACAACACTTCTATGAGAAGCAAGGAAATACAATGTAGAAATAAAAATATAGAACAGAAAATATAAAACTAAAAAGTACAATATTTAAAAATATAGATCTGAGAATAGAAATATGGATATATTACCAATATCTAAGGTATGTATACTGGTGTGAATGTACAAATGAACAATTGAAATTTGCAATGTTGAATGTGCAACGACAGACCATAAAATGCTGACAGTAGCATTGGGTAAATTAGTGAGTTAGAGGGGGTTGGGAGAAGAATAGGTGGGGGTCACGGGCCTCGTTGATGAGGCCAGTTGCTGTTGGATAGAAACTGTCTTTATGGCGTGAGGTGAAGGACGCCTTATCTCTGCAAACAGAGGCTGGGACCATGGGAGGATTTAGTTTAGTTCATATATTAGCAGCAACCTTGTTCCTGAAAAATGTCCCAAGAAATAAAACTAATTAATTGTGAATTAAATCAACTTCAAGCCGGTTCTGTATGTGATACAGAATTTACATTATCAAACAGGATGAAACATTTAAAAACTGCTTTTAACCCTTCAAAGCCTAATCCAAGAAAAATAGGAAGAATTTTTGATTTTTTTTAGTCTGAAGTCTTTCTTTGGCTCTTCAACAACATATGAAGAAAAAAAACAGAAATTGTTTTGATCAAATTAGCGTGCAATGAGTCAAAAATGTATTTTGGTGTAGTCTTCTACTGGCTGTTATCAGGTATATCTGAATGTGTACAACAGGGGTTTGAGCAAAGCTTTTACCACTGAATGATGCAAAAAGTCTCACATCCAAAAGACTTCAGAAACCGGATCAGATATGACACATTTGGCTTTATAGGGTTAAGACCAGTAAAAACTGGACTTAACTGGACTGAATGTTTGTGTGTCCCCCACAGACACACCGGAGCTCACGCTCCTGGAGGTCATGAACCAAACCCCCCAGAGGAGCCTCCCTTATGCCCACACCCTCTGCATCTCCGCCATGTTTAATTTCACCAATGTTCTTCAGGTGGGTGGCGTTTTCTTTACCCAAGTCGTTCGCTGACCCAATGTAAAGGGAAATTTAGCTCCAACTATTCAGCCAGTAGCCTCACGTCCACTAAGGGGGCCGCAGAGAGCTAATAATATACACAGTTTGATCATTTTCTCCCATTTTTTATTTGCAAATTTGATTAAAAACTCCTGTCATCAAAGGTAATTAGTCAACTTCCAACCCAATTTCATGCAAATTCAACAAAGAGTTGATTATGTTCCAGAGTTAGTGAACCTGTGGGCTGCTTCTGTGTGCTTCCACAACTCAACAAATAGTCCAGTTTTACATCCAAATGAACAATGACAGATGAGAAAATGAAATGATCCATAGTTGGTGTGTTAGCCCGATTCTTTAGTTGGAAACCAGAGTGGATCAAAAGTATAAAAAATGTACATTTACTGGGTCTCAGTGGGCAAAGAGCCCTGAGATCTGGGTGATGGGCATTATCTCCTGGGCTCCATCCGCCTCCTCAAAGGAGGACTGGACACAACCAAGTCCTATTGGCCAGTTACCTCTGGGCAGGAACAGGCCAGGTCCTAATTCATGCAGATGGTGTGTGTGTGTTGACCTAAAGGTGGATCTAATGCAACAGAGAGAGAAAAAGAGAGACTTTAACACAAAATGATAGTTCTATAAGGAAATAAAACAATCAGTAATTCACATACAGTGTGCCCACTTACAAAGAATGCTTATTTTTCCTCATCAGATGGTTATCAATTTTGATAAATTCCTATGATGTGATTTTCTGGAATTTCTTTGGGATTCTGTCTTTCACTGTTAAAATGTACATATGATTAAAGTTATAGATCGTTGCATTCTTTGTAAGTGGGCAAACCTGCAAAAATCAGCAAGGGGTCAAATACTTATTTCCCTCACTGTAGATGTTATATAGCATGCTAGCATAGCATGTTATAGCATGCTATGCTAAAGTGAGTAGTTATAGGCAGATTCTAACAGGTGTTACTGGCAGGAACAGAGGGCCAGGTTTGGGTTGGGTCCAGGGGGTTTTATCCATAGGGGTTTTGTGGACCATAAAGGGGGACTGGGTGGTTGTGGATGTCCTGGGGGGGGGGGCTGACGTGCGTCTGGTGCTGTTTTGCAGCTGGTGCAGAGCCTGGAGATGCTGCAGCTTCTGGGGGTGGACCGGGTGGTCGTCTACAACTCCAGCTGCAGCCCCCAGACGCAGAAGGTTCTGGAGTACTACACAAAAAAAGGTGGAGTGCATCTCATTTCCTGTTTGCGAAGGACTTCTTCCCCCGCCGTGCCCCAAGTTTCCTGGCAAAGACAAAGAACCAGACAGACCCAGAGAAATCCACCTTTCCCCTACTGAGAACCCAAACAATGGCAAACATGTTGGTTCCAGTTTTTACGATTAAATCTGTGTGTGTTTTTAAAAAAAAAAAAGCAGATAAAACAACCCTGTGTGAGATGGTCATTTCCTCGGCTGTGGTTCATTGTTTGTGGTTAATTGCCTTTAAAAGAAATCAGGGGGGATTTATGGAGATCTTAAACGTCTTTAAAGACAATAAAACAACCAAAAATTCACTCAAAGGATTTTCTCTTTCTTTTTCTCTTCCTTTCTCTGTCTAAAGGATCTTTCCCCTTTTTGGGTTTGCTTTCCTCTTCATTTCTTCCCTCTCCGTCCCTCTTTCAGGTTCGGCATTATTGGATACAGGTAAAGTTTTTAAACGAAAATAAATAAATAAAGAAGCGTTGGACAATCAAGGGGTGCTTTTGTGGTGGAGTGGTGGTGTAGTGGTTAGCATAGCTGCCTTCCAAGCAGTTGACCTGGGTTCGATTCTCAGCCAATACAGCTCCTCCCTACCCTGTAAGTCGCTTTGGATAAAAGCGTCTGCCAAATGCATGAACATGAACATGAACATGCTTTTCACCAATAAAGCCTCCTTTAAGAAAGTTCACCACCACGCTAGTGCTCCTTTCTACAAATTAAAAGATTATTATCCATTATTCATATGTATGAGCTCCATATTTATCAGGACAAACCACATAGTGCAATATATCCGCCAAACTCCTATATTACATACACACAACTCCTATTATATACACTGTACTTAATCTGTATTTTTTTTTTTTTTTTGCTTAATTTAATTTAACTTAATATTTTTTACCCTGTAAGCTGCTGGTAACCTTAATTTCCTGAGGGAGTCTTCCCAAGGTATCAATAAAGTACAAGTCTAAGTCTAGGTCTAAATCTAAGTCTAATGCATCCCTTTACACTGAAAATTATATAATTAACTAAGAGTTTATAATACAGAGAAAAAGGATTAACAGTCAGCTGGGATGGGGTTGTTGCCAGGAGCAACATGACGCTTTTCCATATTGCAAAAATTTGTTCTTCTTCTGAGCTGTATATATTTTGTTTCTTCCTCTTTTTTTTGTACACATTTAGTGTAGAACGGGGCTCAGATTCCAGTTCTGAACAGGACGAGGTTTCAAAAGAAATAAACAAAGGACTTCTTCCTTTTCTCCCCCCCCTCCCCAGGTCTAATGGAGGTGATTCCTTGGACTGTGTCCGACCACCTGAACGTGTCTCACGGCTGGATGCCCAGCTTGGACCCCGGTGACCTGCACTATTTTGGGCAGATCGCTGCCCTGAACGACTGCCTGTACAGATACATGTACCGGAGCAAGTACACCTCCCTGCACGACGTGGACGAGCTCATCCTGCCCCAGGCCGTCCCAAGGTAGCCCTGCCGGCCCCGGTTCTGCTC